TCGCAGCACGCACCGTGGCGGGAAGATCTGCCGCTCTGTAAGGCATCCTGTGTCCTCGCCACGGGCGAGCTGCGGCGACGGGGCGAACGGCCCACAGCAGTATCCGACCGAAATCGAGTCGTGGGCAGCCCCAACAAAATCGCGGCGCCGGATCGGAGTGCCGAGCGCAGGCGGGCGTCTGTCGCCCCCAGCCGTCGTGCTCTTGCCTGGCCGACCTTGCCGCCCCCGAATTCGCGCGGAGGAGGAGGAGGAGGAGGAGGAGGAGGAGGAGGAGGAGGACGAGGAGGAGAAGAAGGAGGACGAGGACGAGGAGAAGGAGAATGAGGAGGAGAAGGAGAATGAGGAGGAGAAGGAGGAGGACGAGGAGGAGGGAGGGTGAAGGGGAGGGGGAGGGCTTTTTTAGAAGGAGCCTGCTTCTTAGAAGGCGCCGGCCTTGCATCCATAGATAAGGCCCGCGCCTTCTAAGAAGCAGGGATGCCTATAAGAAGCCCACCCCCCTCCCCCCACCCCCCTCTGCGCGTGGCTGAGTTTTTGATCATCCCCGTGCTCGGGCCATCGCCGGGCCCTGGGACTGTCAAACAACGGCTCAGGATGAAAAGCCGGTCCCGGGACAGATGCCCAGACCTGTGAAAAATGACCGCGTCGGAGGTCTGGGCACTCCTCTCTCGCACTGCTCCAGCCGCGCTTGTGGCAGCAGCTCTGCTCCGGGCCCCCCCCCGCTTCGCAGCACGCACCGTGGCGGGAAGATCTGCCGCTCTGTAAGGCATCCTGTGTCCTCGCCACGGGCGAGCTGCGGCGACGGGGCGAACGGCCCACAGCAGTATCCGACCGAAATCGAGTCGTGGGCAGCCCCAACAAAATCGCGGCGCCGGATCGGAGTGCCGAGCGCAGGCGGGCGTCTGTCGCCCCCAGCCGTCGTGCTCTTGCCTGGCCGACCTTGCCGCCCCCGAATTCGCGCGGAGGAGGAGGAGGAGGAGGAGGAGGAGGAGGAGGAGGAGGACGAGGAGGAGAAGAAGGAGGACGAGGACGAGGAGAAGGAGAATGAGGAGGAGAAGGAGAATGAGGAGGAGAAGGAGGAGGACGAGGAGGAGGGAGGGTGAAGGGAGGGGGGAGGGCTTTTTAGAAGGAGCCTGCTTTTTAGAAGGCGCCGGCCTTGCATCCATAGATAAGGCCCGCGCCTTCTAAGAAGCAGAGATGCCTATAAGAAGCCCACCCCCCTCCCCCCACCCCCCTCTGCGCGTGGCTGAGTTTTTGATCATCCCCGTGCTCGGGCCATCGCCGGGCCCTGGGACTGTCAAACAACGGCTCAGGATGAAAAGCCGGTCCCGGGACAGATGCCCAGACCTGTGAAAAATAACCGCGTCGGAGGTCTGGGCACTCCTCTCTCGCACTGCTCCAGCCGCGCTTGTGGCAGCAGCTCTGCTCCGGGCCCCCCCCCGCTTCGCAGCACGCACCGTGGCGGGAAGATCTGCCGCTCTGTAAGGCATCCTGTGTCCTCGCCACGGGCGAGCTGCGGCGACGGGGCGAACGGCCCACAGCGGTATCCGACCGAAATCGAGTCGTGGGCAGCCCCAACAAAATCGCGGCGCCGGATCGGAGTGCCGAGCGCAGGCGGGCGTCTGTCGCCCCCAGCCGTCGTGCTCTTGCCTGGCCGACCTTGCCGCCCCCGAATTCGTGCGGAGGAGGAGGAGGAGGAGGAGGAGGACGAGGAGGAGAAGAAGGAGGACGAGGACGAGGAGAAGGAGAATGAGGAGGAGAAGGAGAATGAGGAGGAGAAGGAGGAGGACGAGGAGGAGGAGGAGGAGACCATCCAGGGCGCGTTCGGGCGCCGGCTGCCGTCGCACAGGCAAGCTCCCACGCGCTGGGGGCCGAGGCAGGCACGGCCCTTCTCCAACCGTTGGCCGCACCGAATCGGTCGGCACGGCGCACTCTTGGCTTGCACCACTTTTTTATGACGGGCGGCCCGACGGCCCTGCTGCTGCCCAAAGAGGCCGACCGAATGAACCGGAAACTGGTGGGGACGGGATGAAGCACTACCTGGCTGGTTCGGGAGTACGGAGGCGTGGGTTCCTTGCTATTCGTGTGATGCCTCTGGCTCCCTCTTTCCACCTTCCGCCTTCCCGCCTTCCCCCTGTCAGATAACTCATATTCAGATCCACTCATACCCAGACTACCCACCCAATCACACTCAGGCGCACTCACACCCATCCCACTCACTCAGACTCACTCACACTCAGACTCACTCACCCTCAGAACCAGGCACACTCAGACCCACTCGCACTCAGACTCACTCACGGTCAGACTCACTCACATTCAGACTCACCGCTCATACTCAGACTTGCTCGCCCGTGACACGTGGCACTCCCAAGGGAGCCCCATGATCACGGCGATGCAGCAGGCGTGGCACTTGGGCATCCCAAGGGGGAGCCGCCAAGGTGTGTCACAAGGGCCTCTTCGCGCCCATCTTGTGGGGCCTTCTGAAGCGAACCGCTGGATTGGACTCCCCCGACTCCTCTCCTTCGAGAACACCTGCGATGTTACCCCTGGTGTGGCACTTGGTCACCCCAGAGGGAAGCCGCAAGGGGGTGTTACAAAGGGTCCCTTCGCGCCCAGGTTGCGGGGATGTCTCGTGCGAAGAGCGGGTTTCGGCTTCACCGATTCTTTTATCCTTAGAGGCACGACTACCGTGATGTGTAGCAGGCATGGAGGCATGGCACTTGGACTCGGACTCGCTCACTTGCAGACTCGCCGCTCATGCTCAGACTGGATCATCCATGGCAAATCGGCACCCCAAGGGGTGTCCATGATCAGCACGATGTGTCAGGCATTGCACTTGGCCATGCCAAGGGCGAGGCGTCAGGGGGTGTTATACGGACCCGTCCGGACCCGGATTGTGGGAAAGTATAAAGCGAAACGCGGGTTTGGCTTCTCCGACTCCTCTTTTCGACTCCTCACTTTGACGACGACGATGCATATGGCAGCGGCGGCGGAGACGACGACGATGACGACAAAGACGACAACCACGACGACGACGACAACGATACCCACGTCGACGAACATGCTTGCGAGAACGCCAACGACAATGACGAAGACGTCTGGAAGCTTCCAGAAACCTCTGGAGAACCTCGAAGATCTTTCCGGAAACCTCTAGAGGTCTCCATGGAGGCTCTGGAGATTTGAATCGTGGCGCTACCAGGGGAGTGAGGGGGGAAGACCGACGACGACGACGACGACGATGATGACGACGCTGATGACGACGACGCTACGACGACGACGACGATGCTACGACGACGACGTCGTCTACGATGACGACGACGACAACGACAACCACGACGACGACGCCAGCCAGTGGCCTGCGACGACGCCAGCCAATGGCCTGCTGCGACCTCTGGACCTGCAGGTCTCTCTCTGCATGGAGACTCCTGGAAGCCGCCCGAAACCGTGACGCCACTGCGGGGCGCCCTCGAAGACCGGCACCGCCGGCACCGCTTGCACCACGACAACGATGACCACGAGGATGCCGCCGACGACGACCACGTCTACGACAATGACCAACGTCGTCCGTCGGTGGCGCGCACAAGGGGGTAGGGGGAGGGGGGAAGGGTTCTTAGAAGCAGGCTGCTTCTTAGAAGGCGCAGGCATTGCATCTATAGATAAGGCCCGCGCCTTCTAAGAAGCAGGGGTGCTTCTAAGAAGCTCTCCCCCCTCCCACTACCCCCCTCTGCGCGTGGCCGAGTCTGGGAGGCATTGCGGAGATTCGCGGAGGTCTCTTCCGCAGATCCAGGGAAGTTCCCTGGACACCCGCGTTGCAGCGTGAGACCACGTGACGTCGGCGACGACGACGATCGAGGTCGTCGAGAGGCCTGCATAGACCGTCATAAGATTCCTTATGATACCGGATGGGATCTGGAACGAATCAGGCCTGCGAGCGGCTTCCAGTCACCGTTACGGGGTGGTCGAGGGCTGCTGAGCGGTAGCGAGCGTTAGCCCCAGACGTAGTTCAGGCAGGCTGGCTGCTGCTGCTGGCTGGCTGATGCTGCATCGCCAGGCAGGCTCACACGAAGAAGAAGAAGAAGAAGAAGAAAAATAACGGCATAAATATCGTCCGCGCGGATTTCTTGGATCCGCGCTGGACCCCCCTCCCCGGAGCGCGCCAGGGGCGGCGCCGGAGGCGCCGCCGGGGCGGCCCATTGCAGACCCAAGAAATCCGCGCGGAGCGCCAAAAGTTTATGTTTACGGCGTGCTTTCTTCTTCGAAGGCTGCTGCACATCGCCAGGCAGGCTGGCGGCCGCTGCATCGCCAGGCGGGCTGCTGCCGGCTGCTGCTGCATGTACAATAGGAGGAGGGCGCGCCGCTGGATCTCCCCAAGGGGGGGGGGGTGGGACCCCCCCCCCCCTTTCCCCGATCCGTCGTCGGGGACCCCCCACCCCCCTTTCCCGATCCGTCGTCGGGACCCCCCCCCCCCTCCCCCCTTTTTCCAGTCCGTCGTCGGGGACCCCCCCCCCCCCCCCTCCCCTCCTTTCAAAAGGGGGGGGGGTCCACCCCCCCCTCCCCCCCTTTGGCCGCCAAATCCCCCCCCCCCTCCTCCCCCCTTTCGCCACGGCGTCCCCGGGCTCCGGAACCCGACCCCTAGCACCCCTAACACAAATCCCAAACTCGAACCCCACACCCTGACCGTAGCCCCAAACAGGACCCACTACTCATTAAATACGCACTACTCACTACCCACTACTCACTACTCGTTACGCACTACTCACTTCTCAATACTAACTACTCAGACTCACTACCCACTACCCACTACTCATTACCCACTACTCACTAACTACTCCCTAGTCCCTACGCCCTACTCACTACTCACTACTAACTACTCACTACTCACTAAACAATACTCATTACTCCCGTCTCACTAAACACAACTTACTACCCACTACTCACTACTCACTAGACAGTAGCCGCTAGTCACTACTCACTACACTCTACTCACTACACACTACTCACTACTCTCGGCTCACTACTCACTACTCACTACCTTCTACTCGCTATTCACGACTCACTACCGACTACTAGCTACCCACTCCTCCCTTCCCACTACTCACTACTTACTACTCCCTACTCAATACTCAGTACTCACTACTCACTAGTCACTACTCCCTACTCACTACTCCCTAATCACTATTCACTACTGACTGCTCCCTCCTCACTACTCACTACTCACGTAGCCCTACTCGCTACTCACGAATCACAACTCGCTACTCACTATTCGCTACCCACTACTCACTACCCACTACCCACTACCCACTACTCACTACTCAGGACTCACTACGCATTGCTCTCTACTCATTACTTACTACTCACTACGCACTAACCACTACTCGCTACTCACTACTACCTACTGTCTAGTCACTACGCGCACTGCTCACTACTCACTACTCACTAATCACTGTGCACCACCCACTACTCACTACTCATTACTCATTACTCACCACACACTTTGGGTTTCTACCCCCTACTCCCTACTCGGTACTCACTACTTATTACTCACTACTCACAACTTCCTACTCACTACTCGATACTCACTAATCAGTACTCACCACTCCCTATTCACTACTCTGCAATTCAGTACTCAGCACTAACTATTCACGACCCACTAATCCCCACTCCCTACTTCCGGTGCCGTACTCGCTACTCACTACTCACTACTCATCACTCGCTACTCACTATTCACTACGCACTACTCACTATTCACTAATTACTACACACTACTCCCAACTCCGCACTCCCTACCCACCTTTTCCGGCGCAGAAAGGAAAAGCGGGAGAACCGCCCTCCCCCCTTCTCGGCCCCCTGTTCGGCGCAAAGGGGGGGAGGGGGGGGTCCGACCCCGCCTCCCCTTCCAGCGCCAAAAGGAACAAGGGGGGGGAGGGAGGGGGGGGTTCGGACCCCCCCCCCTTAACGGGGGGAGGGGGGGGGGGGTAGAAAATCTCCCCCCCCCTTTCAAAAGGGGGGAGGGGAGGGGTTCTGCGAGCACACACCCCCTTTTCAATTACAGGGTGATCCAGTGGCGCGCTTTCCAATAGGAGCCCGACAACAAAACAACTTCCACAAGAAACCCCGCCCCGAGACCCCAGGACGTCCATTTTGATGTTTAGTGTGGGGACGTCACGCGAGACCATCGACACCCACCAACCCCAGGGTACCCTGGAGGCAAGCAGGGTGTTTCTTGGCATGGGCTTACACCCCAGACATGCGACGTCCTGACTTTTTTAATATGGGGTGCCTGGAAATCCCGACCCTTTACCCGGGACCGATTTGTCATTCTGAGTCGTCATTTGACGGTCCCGAAGCCCGGCGAGGGCCCCCCGAGGCCGACGATTGCCAAAACCATCCCGCCCTGATTTTTGGTCCGACGCGAGCATGCCTGGGAAGCAAAGCGTTTCTTGGCACGGGTCTCCTCTGCAAGTTGGTCATAGGATTAGGTCGGGCATGCCCCCCTAGAGGCGGACTTTGGACAAACAATAAAAAAACAACAGACTCCCAGAACATCTAAACATGATCAACAAATCCTGAAAATTCGGTCCCACACGACTTTCTGGCTATCTTTGGCTACTCCTCCTGTCGAGGGACAGGCCCGACCTAGTCATAGGATCGCCGTTGGGGGCTGCGGCGTCAGAAGAGGCCGTCGGGCCCTGGTGCCTCGGAGGGCGCGCACGTGTAGGCCACGTAGAAGCCGAGGGCGTCCACGTACTGCTGGGCGCTGCCGTAGAGTCCCACCAGCCAGGCGCTCCTCGCGCAGGAGAGCACAGGAGAGGCGACACTCAGAGGAGGAAGAGGTAGACCCATACAGTCAAAAACCCTCATAAGGACGCGCGGCAAGGACGTAAGACCCGTGGAAGCCGAAGCTGGGATTTCTGGGGCGGCGGACGACGAAAACCTCAAGGACGCAAGAGCAAGGAAGAGCAAGGACGCAAGGGCACCCTGAGCAAAGTCGCGCGTCCTGATTCGGGCTTTTGACTGCACCTCCACCCAGCCATGACCGCGTCGTGCAGATCTCAGGACGGGATGTCTTTGGGGGCACGTTCGGCCTCGGGGGGGGCCCTCGCCGGGCCTCGGGACCGTCAGCAAAACGACTCGGGACGAGAGCTGGTCCAGGGGAGCGGGTCGGGGCTTCCGGGGAACCCGTATTGAAAGGCCTCCTAGATGGGGTACGAGTGGGGTCGGCGGATCTCGCCGCATCGCCGATACATCGGCGATGCACTGGCGACGTCGACGATGCATCGGCGATGCATCAGCGACGTCGGCGTGGAAAGAATTGGGCCCCACATCGAGCCGCATCGCTGATGTATCGGCGATGCGGCGCGAGCCTCCGACCCCATCTATTCGGACCCCATCTAGGAGGCCTAGAGTATTGGAAAACATCAGGACGTCGCGTGTCTCGGAAGGGGAGGTGGACCAAAGGGTAGTCCATACCTCTGCCCTTTCCCATCGTTTTCCCCTGCTTGGGGGGGCTCCTGGGTAGCCCTCGTCGCCACCGCTGGATTCGCCTCGAGGTCCTGATCAGAAACGCACCCCGGGAGAGGTCCGGGGAGTAGCGGTACCGGTGCCTGTTTGGTTTTTCCCCGGACGCCACCACCAGTGCGAGCGCCTGGGAGGTGCCTCCTGGGGCTGTGCCGCCCTCCCCCCCACACTCGCGCTCGAGGCGGCCCCACCTCCTCCTCCTCCTCCTCCTCCTCCTCCTCCTCCTTCTCTCCTCCCCTCCTCCTCCTCCTCCTCCTCCTCCTCCTCCTCCCCTGCTCCTCCTCCTCCTCCTGCTCCTCCCCTCCTCCTGCTCCTCCTCCTCCTCCTCCTCCCTCCTCCCCTCCTCCTCCCTCCTCCTCCTCCTCCTCCTCCTCCTCCTCCTCCTCCTCCTTTTCCTCCTCCTCCTCCTGCTCCTGCTCCGCCTCCTCCTCCTTCTCCTTCTCCCCCTCCCGCCCCCCCCTCTCGCTCGAGACCTCCCCCATATCCCTGACTCGCGTGGGCTCCCTCGCTGGAGGTGGGCCCCTGGTGGTGATGGTGGTCTCGCCTCTCCTTCCCCCGATCCTCGGGAGGGTTCCCGTCGCGTTCATGACGGCCTCCTTGAAGTTCACCATCTTTGAGTACCTCCCCCCGGGGCCACCTATGACCTGCTCTCTGCCGTCGTTGGTCCAGAAGGATATCTTGTCGATGTACCTCTCGTACCTCACCTCGACGGCGTGTATTTTCTGGCCCTCCGAGAAAGTCAACGTGCCGCTGACACCGCCCTTCCCACCGTGCTCCGGCAGAGGCCAGTTGTTATTCCCGAGAGATAGAGTGACCTGTATGCTGTCCATCCACTGCGAGCTGCGGTACTTGATCTGCCGTATCTCCAAGTTTGCGAAGAGGCCGTGGAGCTGGATCATTACAGAGTCGTCGAAGGGCTGGCCATTCGGACCTTGAGGAGACACAAACTACATACAAAGGAACTTCCGAAAGTCCGCGCGGGTTTCTTGGATCTGCGCTGGGCCCACCCATGGGGCGGGGCCGGAGGCGCCGCTGGGGGGGGGGCCCTACGCAGACCCAAGACATCCGCGCGGAGCACCGACAACTTGTGCTTCCAGAGTCTCCCTTTTCTGAGGACCGCCTCCGCCCCAGATCTTGGCCAGGCAGGTCCTCTCCGCGCCTGCCGCGTCGGGGTCGCTCACGATGGCCGCGCAGCTGTCGATCTTGCCCTGCCTCAGCAGCTTCTCGGGGCAGTACTCCTGCAAGGCCCTCTCCATGTTCTCCCTCTTGGAACGGAGCTTCGTCACATTTGCCTCATTCGGGATGACTCGAGTCGTGAACAGCTCGCTGAGCGGCTTGAGACGCATCGCAGTGGGCACTGGCTTATGAATCGTGTCCGTCAACCAATTGTCCACGTCCCACGTCTGTGGCGCCGACCCAAGCGTGTACTTCCGGGTATTCGTGACGTACTTGTCGAAGAAGTCTTTCGAGTTCCAATCAGTTTCGCTTGCGGCGCCTGCCTTGATCGAAACTACGAAGGACGCCTGCGCATTTACGAACCAGTCGCTCTTCGTCGCCTTCATGTCGTTGTACTTGTCCCTTGTGAACTCGGTCTCCTCGCCGTACATGCCGCCCATCTGCACAGAACTCAGGAAATGCGTGCCGAACTCACCAATGAGATTGAAGTAGAAATCTTGATCGTAATGTTCTGGAGCCGCGTCCACAGCAGCCAGAAAGTTTTCGTCGGCTGGCGGGGGCACGAAGGCATGGATGAACGCCTTGTAGGCGCAGCACTGTGCAGTGACAGCGGTGTAGACGCTCTCGTGAGACTGCAGATTTTCCCGGACACGCTGGAAGTCCGCAGACGCTGCAAAGCTGGCGACGTCCCCAAAACTCACGGTCAAGGAGACGTTGGTGGACAGAAACTCATAGTACTCCTCCATACTTGTGATCGACTGCACCTTCGAAGCCAAGGAGCACGAGCCATCGCACCGCAGCGCGTTCATCCCGGGAGGGATCCGGGTACCGTCCGGCAGCGCCTCGCTGCCAGGGTTGGCCTTGAACACCTTGTTCCTGAACCCCGTGTCGACGGCGCCGTCGGTGGGCCGCGGGTTGCCGAAGAACACGTCGTAGCCGCTCGCCAGGTACCTCGACGTCCGCCGCTGTGGTCTTTTTCCGAGGCGCGCGCCCCCCCAGGAGGTTTCGGCCACCTTCCCGGGGCCACAGTGTTCCGCTCCATGCAGCGGGAGATATCTCTTCGGAAGTCGAAGGAAAGACGCCCAGACTGCATCGAATCACAGCTTCGGAACCTAAAATCCGACGTCGCATCCAGCCCAAAGTCAGCATCGCGAAAAAATCACGGCCAGAGTCCTAGACCCCATCTTTCTGCGGCAGTTCTTCTCGAGCCAGGTCGATGTGTGAGAGCCCAGGGCCCGAAACCCAGACCCCCGACGTCACGATTTGTTCATTAACTACATCGACCCCTGGATGTCTCGACCCATTTCCCTGGACCGGTTTTTCGTCCTGAGTCGTTTTTTGACGATCCCGAGGCCCAGCGAAGGCCCCCCGAGGCCGAAAATAGCGAAAAACCTCCCGTCATGATCTTTTCATTAATTACCCGAGGGGGTCTGGGAACCCAAAGAGAACGGAACGCCCATTGTGGAAACATTGCAACGCCCGGATCCCGGGTCGGGGAACCATGCTAGACTCGGGTTCGGGGGACCCGGGATGGCCTGACGGGGTTGTCAGGAAACTGACGAGACCCAAACTGAAGCTTGACGCGAGCTCGTGCGTCAAATCCAAGATGGGCCCCTTGAAGAAACATCGGCCAACCCGAATTCGGCCGAGCCCGAGTCTTCAGCCCAGAGATGCGACGTCCTGATTTTTTCCATACGGGGTGCCTGGGAATCCCGACCTTTTCCCCGGGACTGGTTTTTCATCCTGAGTCGTTTTTCGACGGTCCCGAGGCCCGGCGAGGGCCTCTAAAGGTCGAAATCGGAGAAAAACCTCGGTCGTGATTTTCTCAAGACGTTGGATCTCTGGGATCGTGTCCGTGGGAGGGGAGCTCTGGGCACTCGAGGCCGCTCAGCTGCGTGCCCGGGCCGAAGCTGCTCAGGCGGCGCCCCCCCGACGCGCCGCAGCGGGCGCGCGGGCCCACCTTCCGTGGGGGAAGCCAGAAGGCACAGATACTTCTGCTCCCCAGGCCTCTCCTGGGGTGCGTTCTGACTGGAGTGTCGACCCCGACATGATCGCGTCGTGAAGAAAAATGAAGACGGCAAGTTTCTCGCTTTTTTCGGCCTCCTGAGGCCCTCGCCGGGCCTCGGGACCGTCAAAAAACGACGCGGGATGAAAAACTGGTCCTGGGGAATGGGTCGAGACCTCCAGGTTATGAAAAAATCATGACGTCGGAGGTCTGGGGGTGCGTTCTGTCCAGAAATTCAAGGCGAGTCCAGCGGTGGCGACGAGAGCCTCGTGGCTCAGGCCCAAGAAAAGGAGAACGCGAGACGGGTGTAATTAGCGGTATTGATGCCTTCCCAGACATGCGACGTCCAGATTTTGTCAATGAGGGGTCCCTGGAAGTCCCGCGACCCTTTCCCCAGCACCGGGTTTTCATCCTGACTCAAGTTTTGGCGTTCCAGCCCGGCGAGGGCCCCCCGAGGCCGAAATCGGCCAAAAACCTCCCGTCCCGATTTTTGCACGACGCAGTCATGTCTGGGCGTTCCTCCTCGGAACCTGCAGGCCCCCCTCGGCGGGCGCGGCGCAGCCGACGAGCGCCCACGCCGCCGCGGCAGCCGCGCCGCGCCGCGGCCCGGCCGGGGCCATCGCGGGCGAACCGGCCAGCCACAGCTGGGGGAGCTGCGCTCCCGGGGGGCAGCCGCCGCTGGGACCATCCCCAGACATGATCCCAGACCCCCTCGCGTCGTGAAAAATTACGCTGCCGAGGAACCCCACATACTTATATTATGGCTGGAGTGATGATAGCTGAAGTGAAGCATGTAAGAATGATGTTGGTGGCCGTTGCCACCCCCTGCGCACCCCCTATTTTGTCCAGAAAGTGCCACGCCTGCTATGCCCTGGACGACCGTCGTGCATAGCGGCCGCGGTGAGGGACCACCCCCTGCGCACTCCCTATGGTGTCGAGAAAGTGCCACACCTGCTATGCCCTGGACGACCGTCGTGCATAGCGGCCGCGGTGAGGGACCAACCCCTGCGCACCCCCTATGGTGTCGAGAAAGTGCCACACCTGCTATGCCCTGGACGACCGTCTCGAATAGCGGCCGCGCTCGGGGACCACCCCCTGCGCACCCCCTATGGAATCGAGAAAGTGCCACGCCTACTATGCCCTGGACGACCGTCTCGGATAGCGGCCGCGCTCAGGGACCACCCCCTGCGCACCCCCTATGGAATCGAGAAAGTGCCACGCCTACTATGCCCTGGACGACCGTCTCGGATAGCGGCCGCGCTCAGGGACCACCCCCTGCGCACCCCCTATGGTGTCGAGAAAGTGCCACGCCTGCTATGCCCTGGACGACCGTCTCGGATAGCGGCCGCGCTCAGGGACCACCCCCTGCGCACCCCCTAAGTGTCGAGAAAGTGCCACGCCTGCTCTGCCCTGGACGACCGGCGCGGATGGGGGACCACCCCGTGCGCACCCCCTATGGAAACTGCCACGCCTGCTACGGCCTGGACGACCGGCGCGGATAGGGGGACCACCCCCTCCGCACCCCCTATGGTGTCGAGAAACTGCCACGCCTGCTACGGCCTGGACGACCGGCGCGGATAGGGGGACCACCCCGTGCGCACCCACTATGGCGTCGAGAAACTGCCACGCCTGCTACGGCCTGGACGACCGGCGCGGAAAGGGGGACCACCCCCTGCGCACCCCCTATGGTGTCGAGAAAGTGCCACCGACCGGCGCGGATAGGGGGACCACCCCTGCGCACCCCCTATGGTGTCGAGAAAGTGCCCGCCTGCTAGGCGGGACGACCGGCGCGGATAGGGGGACTGCGCACCCCCTATGGTGTCGAGAAACTGCCACGCCTGCTACGGCCTGGACGACCGGCGCGGATAGGGGGACCACCCCGTGCGCACCCACTACGGCGTCGAGAAACTGCCACGCCTGCTACGGCCTGGACGACCGGCGCGGATAGGGGGACCACCCCGTGCGCACCCACTACGGCGTCGAGAAAGTGCCACGCCTGCTACGGCCTGGACGACCGCGCGGATGGGGGACCACCCCGTGCGCACCCCTAAGGCGTCGAGAAACTGCCACGCCTGCTACGGCCTGGACGACCGGCGCGGATAGGGGGACCACCCCGTGCGCACCCCTTATGGTGTCGAGAAACTGCCACGCCTGCTGCGTCCTGGACGACCGGCGCGGATAGGGGGACCACCCCCTGCGCACCCACTATGGCGCCGAGAAACTGCCACGCTTGCTACGGCCTGGACCGGCGCTGATAGGAGGACCACCCCCTGCGCACCCCCTATGGTGTCGAGAAAACTGCCACGCCTGCTACGGCCTGGACGACCGGCGCGGATAGGGGGACCACCCCCTGCGCACCCCCTATGGTGTCGAGAAAGTGCCACGCCTGCTATGCCTGGACGACTGGCACGGATAGCGGCCGCGCTCAGGGACCACCCCCTGCGCACCCCCTATGGTGTCTAGAAAGTGCCACGCCTGCTATGCCTGGACGACTGGCACGGATAGCGGCCGCGCTCAGGGACCACCCCCTGCGCACCCCCTATGGTGTCGAGAAAGTGCCACGCCTGCTATGCCTGGACGATTGGCACGGATAGCGGCCGCGCTCAGGGCCACCCCCTGCGCACCCCCTATGGTGTCGAGAAAGTGCCACGCCTGCTATGCCTGGACGACTGGCACGGATAGCGGCCGCGCTCAGGGACCACCCCCTGCGCACCGCTTGCTAGGCTTTGCGCCAGTGCCACGAGCTGTGCTGTGCTGTGCTGAGCTGAGCCGTGCTGGGCTGTGCTGAGCTGTGCTGAGCTGTGCTGTTCTGAGCTGAGCTGAGCTGTGTGCTGTGCTGAGCTGAGCTGAGCTGTGCTGTGCTGTGCTGTCATGTGCTGTGCTGAGCTGTGCTGTACGAAGAGTGAGGTGTGTGTCGCGGGTGCGGCGCGGCAGGGAAGAAAACCATAACCCCACGAAGCATGTGGGGAATCAGGACGGGAGGTTTTTCGCTGTTGTCGGCCTCCAGGGGCCCTCGCAGGGCCTCGGGACCGTCAAAAAACGACGTTTGGGGTCCGTGAGCGCGTCGTGAAAAATCAGGACGGGAAGTTTTTGACCAATGTCGGCCTCGGGGGGGCCCTCGCCGGGCCTCGGGACCGTCGAAAGACGACTCGAGCGGGATGAAAAACCGGTGCCGGAGAAAGGGTCGGGACTTCCAGGGACCCCGCATTGACAAAAAGCAGGTCGTCGCATGTCTGGACAGGGCGGAGGCGTTTCGCCGGTCTCCGCCTCCTCCGGGGCCCTCGCCGAGCCCCGGCGACCGCCAAAGAGAGCGCTTCAGGACAAGAAGCCGGCCTTGGGAGCAGGATGGCGCCCGCCGGGGGGGGCCCCCACAGGTGCAACATCGAGACGCCAGCTCTCTTGGTCAACCCTCTGATGGGGAGCCCGACGTGTCGACAACCGACGGGCCCCCCCGGGGGGCGGGGGTGGGAAGGACCGCAGAGACCGTCCAGCTGCGGCTGGTCTGAGGGCCTGGGGGCGGGAGCGTGGAGCAGGGGCCCGGGCGACGAGGCGCTCGAGCCTGGAGGGGTGCGGGCGCGGGGGAGAAAGACTGCAGACCCCCGACATCGTGATGATTTCACGGGGCCCCCGGAAATCTCGACCCATTCCCCAAGACCGGATTTTCATCCTGAGGCCTTTTTTGACGGTCCCGGGGCCCAGCGAGGGCCTCGAAAGGTCGAAATCTGAGAAAAACCTCCGCCGTGATTTCTCCAAGACGTTGGATCTCTGGGGAGGCGTGCGAGGAGGTGCGTCACGCCGGAGCGCCCCCGGACCGAGGGGCGGAAAAACGATGGAGGCTGGGCACGGGGCCTCTGAGAGGCTTCCTGGCCGCGACATGGGCACTTTGATGGACTGCGACCGGCCGGGTGCCACCCGAGCCGCCGCCCCCCTCTGCTTGCAGTGGGGTGCTGGCAGCGCGGCCAGGCCGCACTGCCAGCAGTCGGGGTGAATCCGCGCAGCTGCGGGCCACGGTCAGAGCGAATGGGCAACGCTGTCAGTCGCCGACCCCGCTCGTACTGCTCAGAGGCACAGGCTCTGCAAGGACCTGCTCCCTCCGCAGTCCCCTCCGTCTCTCCCATCCCTGCCCATTTCTCTCCTTCCTCATCTCTGGACATCGACTGCTTCATTAGTTCGATACGGGGTCCCCGAAGCCCCGACCCATCCCCGACGGACAAGAGGGACAAGAGTGGGAGGAGGAGGAGGAGGAGGAGGAGGAGGAGGAGGAGGAGGAGGAGGACCCCCTCCCCCTTCAACTCATGGTGGTGGTGGTGGTGGAACACAGGCCCATCGCACGTGGCGCACACGAGGCGCCCACGAGGAGCCCACGAGGCGCCCAACGGGCGGGCGCCCGCCGAAGCCTCGGCCGTTCGGCGGGCCTGCCCGGCGCACGAGGCGCCCACGGCACGGCCCGCGGGTGGCCCGCAGATGGGCGTCGCGTAACTGATGGCCTCTGAGAAACGAGCGAAAGCGCAATTCTCTTGGCGAAAGACGCGCGCGCGAGGGGGCGGGAGGGCGGGGGGTCGGGAAGTGACTGCCTGGAACGGTGTACATTCAAATCTAGGATGGACGAAGCCGCGAAATCAGGCGCGAACGACTATGCGAAAAGGTGGCACGCTAAGTCCTAGGGAGGGGTCACAGTGCTTCTCTAAGACAGAGTAGATACGTGGTGCTATGCATGTCGTGCAGTTAATTTCTGTCCGAATGTACCTGCCAACTCCGCTGCTCGCACCGTCGCCCCGCCCGCCCGCTCGCAACTTGGTGTGCAAAAGTTGATTCTGGGGAAATGGGGCATTTGGAAATGGGACCGCAAGCCGCAGCTGCAAGAGCTCGCCGCGTGGAACTATTGCGCGCAACTGCCGCGGGCAACTATTGCAAACCATTGCGCCCGCGGGCTCAACCATGGACTCATCTTGGATTTTCAGACGCAACTATTTCATCGTGGCAGGCCAACCATTGCACAGCACTGCTCGAGGAACAAAAATACGGGAACGCAAACTATTGCATCGCAGAGATAAACTATTGCGCCTGCGCTTCCAAACTAGTGCACCCCGACTATTGCACGAGGCGCCGCGCGATCTAGAATGATCGTTTTCCCACTATTGCATGAACTCTTGCGAGCACGCTTCGCGGCCCCATTTCCAGAGACCCCATTCGCCCGATTCCTTTTTTGAAAAACCACGCGGAGCCGACTTCGACGACTGCCTGGCGCTGGCGGGCGCGTCGCTGCGGCCGCGCGCGGGCTCGCGCGCAGAGCGGCGGGCTAGTCTGGCGCGACGGGCGCGGCCGCGGCAGGGCTGGCCGCTGGGGACCTCCCATGTCGAGGATCCGAAGCAGCGCGAGCGCAAGATTTGATTGAGCATTCATGCTGCGATATGGTTTGCGTTGATGTGCCTGCGGGGCTTTCGATGGCCAGTTGTGAAATCCGCCTGGGGGCCAGGCGCGCGCAGCGGCGCGCTCGCGTGAGCTTCGCTTCGCTCGTTGCAGCTGGTTCGCGCGACGGCGCGCGCGCAGGGCCGTTCGAAATATCCCTGCACGCGCGCGCGCGATGGGCGGGTTTGGTAGCACGTGGTGGACGCGTTGAAAGAGTTGCTTTCTTGAGACTGCACAAGAAGGCGAACGCCTTTTTTTATTTTGCCATCCAGCGCGTGCATAGTTTGGACATGCATATACGTGTGTGCGCGTACATGAATACAGACATACATGGATAAATATATTCGGAGCGCTCGATTTTTGAAGACGCTGCGAGACTTAAGTTGATAGAGAGATTTCGGCATGCGCGCGCGACGACGCGCGCGCGTGCGCTTCGTCCCGTGTTTGGCAAGGGTTCTGGAAAATGGATGACTTCTGATGAGTGCGCGTGCGCGTGTGTCTCTTGCAAAAGGGGAGGGGTCGATGGCCGTCTGTCAGGGGCGGTATGACATTACACTTTGGATGGAGAGAGGTGCATAACCATATGCGAAACAATCGACAATGCGGATCGATGTTGTGCAGTGGCGTGGCACAATCTACGCTGTTGAATCGATGTTGTGCAGGCTATGTGGTGCATTCTATTTGGTGCAACAATATATTTGGCATTATCTGTTCAATGCAATCTACGTGGCGCAATTAAATGATAATACATGTGTTGGCAAAATCAATGCTCTTGCTTGTGTCCACCCATTCACCCGCGACTTGATTCGCAAAACCCGCGCGGCGGCGATTGCGATGGATGCACGCCGTTGGCTGGTGCATCTTTTCGGCCGCGCTAGCCCGCGCATGCTCGCACGCGCAACGGCCAGCTAGTTTGGCGCAACCGACGCGGCCGCGGTGGCGCTGACCGCCGGGCCCTTTCCGTGGGAACTTGAATGCGCTTCGGTAATTAAGGCGGGCGCGGTATCATGGGGACGCGGGCAACGGTAGACGCAATCATGATGACGGTGCCGATGGTGACGACGACGACGGAAAGGTCAGCGACGGCGCCGATGTTGATCGCGCCTGCCGATGATAATGACGATGTCCTCGCGTCGGCGCTGAAGATTTTGGAAGGGGTTCGACATGTGCGCCCGGCTGGCGCGCGCGAGTTGCCCATACGGCATTATTCGACATGGATCGCGCCCCCTCAGCACGCGCCCAAAGGGCTCTCGACATGCGGCCCGAGAGGATCGTTTGGTAGAATGTGATGGCACTTTGGAAAATCAAAGTTTTTCTTGAGAATTCGCATGAGCGCGCGCACCAGCTATTTGATGTTGGGAAAACTGATATTGTAAACCCTTGTTGTATATACGAATGTAAATATGTGTGTTCGGGACCCTCGCGTTTTGAAATCCTTACGAAACCTGCTGTTGTGGGCAAGATTTCCGCATGCGCTCGCGACGACGCGCGTGCGTGTACTGCGTGTATTTGTTTGCAAAAGACTTTTGCGACAACACGCGTTCAAGGGCGTTCGAACGATGTCACGCGCGCGAGAGGTCCGGTAGCATGTAGTGACGATGTTGAAGAGCCTATGGTTTTCTCGAAAATCTGCGAAAGCGCGAGCGCTGACTTGTTTGAAAACCCTTGTTGCGAAACAGTTGCTGATATGCTTTCGTGATACTTGATTTTGAAATACTTGCGAATATTGGGTTTTGTTCGTAAATCCCGCATGCACGCGCGACGACGCGCGCGTGTGCACTTCGTCCCGCTTGTGCAAGGGATTTCTGGAAATTGCTAATTGTTGATGGAGGTTGCGCGCACAGTATGCCTTGACAAGGGACCGAGGGTGGGAGGGGTGCGATACCGATGGCCTGGGATGGTCTGATTTCATATTTCGGATGAACGATGCGTCTGGACCAAATGTAACTTGCAATTCTGTAAATTGAAAAGCCGTGCCGATAAGACTGCGGGGGGGTGGGGGGCGAAAGTCGATCATCCTCTAGATAGGACCATCTACAACGGTGACGAAGCGGCAACGGGGCGGCGACGGCGACGGCGACCACATAGCTGCCAGACCGCTACACTGCTCTAGACGACGAGCGGCGACCAGGTGGCGACGGGGCGGCGACAGCGACAACATGGCCGCCAAACCGCCACACCCGCTAAGATGCTGGACGGCGACGAGGCGGCGACGGCGACACGATAGCCGGCAGACCGCCGCACCAGCCAGGGTCCTTATGATAAACATGCGAACCCCTAGATGCAAGCACCGTTTGGTGTGTAAGTATGGATGTATGCATATATACATAAATATATACATATATATACATATGTATATATATATATGTATATAACAGATGAATACGCTGAAAAAAAGAGATGACGCACCATGCAGCTTGGACCACGTGGCGTGACCCACAACTCGCTGACCGGATGGGTTTCACATAATATCTCGCACGACATAGCTTGTACCACTTGTGTACGAATTATTAATTTGCGCATTTACAGACTACCGGTATACATACGTACGTAGACAGATGTATAGAGTGAGGGAAAGAAAGAGAAAGAGAGAGAGAGAGAGAGAAAGCGAGAGAGAGAGAGAGATGCTGCCAACCAAAGCTTAAAACCGTGTAGCCTGCAACACATAGCTTATACACCCACAGTGCAATAACTTTGTGTTGTGCACCACGCTGGTAAACATATTGTCCAAAGCAACTGCTTGAACTCTCAACGCTTCGAAAAAATCCAAATCCTGGAAGCTGGACCCGCGAGCCTCGACGTTCGCCGATCTGACTTGTTCAACTCGCCACTCCCGCCCCCCTCCCAAAGGCAGGGCCAGCGCTTCGCCCCACATCCATGGGCCGAACTCGTGTAAAAAAACACCCGCGGAGCGTAACACATTGGATCGTGTAGGCTTGGTCTTCGGGTCCCAACTCGGGCCTCCGGCGGCGAGAAGACTGCCAGGAAGCATCGGAAGCATCAGACAACTCCCCTCGAACCTCGATCCTCGACCCTCTGGTCTCCTGCTTGGAAGCGTGTGGTGAACATGCTAGCAGGCCCGTAGTTCAGCTAAGAATTCGCAAGAGCGCGAGTGCAGTATGTGTTGTGATTGATTGCTTGTCTTTGTGTATGTAC